TATTTTTCAGAGCTACATTGGGCCTATGGAGAAAAAAGTTAGTTTTCAGATTCTAACTTTGAGCAGCTGTAGATTTTGAAGGAAGGAACCATGGCACTTTTTAAACACATGAAAAGTTTTGTTTTTTCATGTACTTTTAAGAAATGCATTTAGTTGATAGGTCATTTTTGGACCTATCAACTCATTTCTGATATGACCCATATGTATGTGTAGATTCTATAAATATTTACAATTGTCAATCGTTACTTCTTCTCACGCTTGTCGCATTCGCGATCTTGGAAACCATCGTGGATTGTCTTTTGGTGTTTTATCAAATTGCTTTGAACCCCAAATTTCTGCCCACACTCATGGCATTCGAAATCTTTTCGAGCCTCATGGACTGTCTTTTGGTGTATGAGTAAAGTTGATTTTTGTCCAAATTTTTTCTCGCACGTGTCACATCCGAAATCTTTGCGACCTTCGTGTACTAGATTTTGGTGTGTTTTCAAATTTCTTCTATCACCAAATTTTTTCTCGCACTTGTCGCATCCATAATCTCTGCGACCTTCGTGAACTGTCTTTTGGTGGATGAGCAATTTTGATTTGTACCCAAAGTTCTTTTCGCATTTTTCGCATGAGTAGTCTTTGCGACCTTCGTGTACTGCCTTTTGGTGCGAAAACAAAATCCATTTGTATCCAAATTTTTTCTCGCACTTGTCGCACGCGTGATCTTTGCGACCCTCGTGCACTATTTTTTGATGCTTGATCAAATTGCCTCGTTGCCCAAATTTCTTCTCGCACTTGTCGCATGCAAAAACTTTGATATTTTCGTGGACTGTCTTGTGGTGATTGAACAAATCAACTTTTCGTCCAAATTTCTTCTTACACTTGTCGCATGCGTAATCTCTGCGACCTTCGTGGATTGTCTTTTGATGCAAAAGTAAAGTCGATTTGTGTCCAAATTTTTTCTCGCACTTGTCACATGCAAATTCTTTGAAACCTTCGTGCATTGTTTTCATGTGCAGGACCAAAGTACATTTGTGTTTAAATTTCTGCTCGCATTTGTTGCATGCAAAATCTTTGCGACCTTCGTGTATTATCCTTTGGTGGGAGAGCAAAGTCTTTTTTTGTGTAAATTTCTTCTCGCAATGGTCGCATGCAAAATCTTTGCGACCTTCGTGTATTGTTTTTATGTGCAGGACCAAAGTACCTTTGTGTCCAAACTTCTGCTCGCATTTGTTGCATGCGAAATCTTTGCGACCTTCGTGTATTATCTTTTGGTGGGTGAGCAAATTCTGTTTTTGTGTAAATTTACTTCCGCACTCGCCACATGCGAAGTCTTTGCGACCCTCGTGCACCGTCTTTTGGTGAGTGAGCAAATAAATTTGCCGCACAAACCTTTTCTCGCACTTGTCACACGCGTAGTCTTTGTAACTTTCGTGAACTGTTTTTTTATGTTTTATCAAATTGCTATTATCCACAAATTTCTTCCCGCACTTATACGTGAACTTCTCGCTACCCTCGTGGACTCCTTTTAAGTGTATGAGTAAACTTTTCTTACTTGCAAATCTTTTGGCGCACTTTTCGCATAAGTAATCTTTGAAAACATCGTGGAATATTTTGTTGTGCTTTAGTAAAGTTGATTTATTTTCAAATTTCCTCTCACACTTGTTGCACATCAAATCTTCGCCATTTTTATGTAACAATTTTTGGTGCGTAAATAAATTCGATTTTTTCACAAATTTTTTCTCACAATTGTCGCATGAAAAATCTGTGTGGCTTTTGTGTACTGATATTTGGTGTCTACTTAAATGACTTCGGAACTCAAATTTCATTTCGCACTTGTCACATGCATACTTTTTTTTATTATTGTGAGCTGTGTCTAGATGTGTTTTGCTTGATTCTAGTGTAAATGTCTCTTGACAAATATTATAAACGTATTGTTTGTTGTCTGATACAACAATGTCATGTTCACTTGAATTATTTTCCGAAATAACTTGCTCGGATTTCTTCTCGCTTTTATCCATTTTGGTGCTTATGATAAACCTGCCTTTGGTATTATGTATTGTTTCATCGGGAAACACAACGTTAAAACTAATTTAAATTTATTATACACGTGTTCAGTGTTCGAGAGACAATGTCCTAGTCTTTTATGATCATATTGTTTACAATTAAGTTACTGATCGTACTACAGGAGCCGATCCAGTTCGAGGGCAGTCTCCGGGCGAATCTCGACCCGGCGGGCTAGCACACGTACCGCCGAGTTGTGGTCGGCCCTCGGGGACGTCGAGTTGCGGCGCAGTGGAGCCGATTTCTCAGCGGACCAGCGTCGACTGCTCCGCCTGGCACGGGCCATCGTCAAGGGCAACGGGATATCCCGGTGATGAACGAGGCGGCGGCCGTGCGCCGTGCCGAAGATTCGCCCACCGGCTCAACACGATAATCGACTGAGACAGTGCAGCGACGGGGCACAGGAGCGGCCAGGCCATCGAGCAGCGTCTCAAGAGGATATTATCCGAGCGGGTGTAATGACATGTTTGAACTAGTCACCGGTAGGTGGCGTCGATTGAGATCGCCGCTCGCGCAGTAGAGTAAGTCTAGTTCTAGGCATATAAGAGCACAAAATATTTTTTTTTGATACATCTATCCATACATTCTCTTCTGTTTGGTATATTTTTAAAATCTAACACCGGATTCGGAAAGTTTATTAAATTTTGAAATTTTGAATTTATAAGTTGCAGAGTAAATTTATTTATTTATAAAACACGTGTAATATAAAAATTGCATGCATACATTCATGCAAAAGTTATCAATCATTTTAAATTTAGAGAAATGTAAATATATACTGACACACTTACATTTCTATCTCTATTTCCATATCAACATTTTCGACACTATAGGACATCGAATCGTCGCGTTTTTTTCAATTATAGATTCATTGAGATCAACTTTTTCCAGATCGTCTTCGATATCATAATTTGCCAGAGGCAGATTAGTGCAACATTCTTCATCGCAATGAAGACATGCATTTGAGCATTTTAAACCATTTTTTCTACGTGAACAAAAATTTTTATCGCAGAACGTTTTGCACGAGCGCGAAATTTGTTTGAGTAAACACTCCAATTTGAGCTAAAACTAATGTAATTTTCTATAAATACTGATATAAAATATGGAAAAAATTGTTATATTATTAAACTCACCGTTCCTCCTTTTTCACTAATTTCTGACACTGAATAGAAGTGAATTCCATGTTTTGAGAATCAGATTACCTCATCAATGATGCTGCGTTAAAACTATTTTTTCCATGTTCCAAGTACCAATACTTTTCAGTCAGTTGGACTTGACTGTTTTAGCCTGATACCATGATACGCTATTATATGGTATTTATCAATGTTGAATAATATTTAAATATTCATCATTCATAAAAGTGTTGTTTACAGGCCAATTGGATCAAACTAACTGTAAGGGGCTTCATCCTTGGGTACCAAGTGACCATAAAAAAATGTTCAAGACATGTGGTCACCCAACGACACGAAGGGCTCTTGTAAGACTTTTTGACTCATTTTGATAATGTGCAAAAATCCCTGACACATAATGAAAATCTAATAACCGATCACGCAGATAAGTTTAAAAAATTTCGAATTGATCCATGTATTATTATACAGTAATAAATGAAAGAATGTACTTTGTATATTACTGGGAACTTTTTTAAGTACTTGGTTTTATGAAATTAGACAATTTTTTCCAATCATCGCTAAGCAAGACATTTTGACATGATTCAAAGATATGCGGACAATATACAAATACAGAGATTTTAAATTTGATTGTCAACAACACGATTATAAACAGTCATGAAAGCGCCTCTTCAACACTTAGCATGTTTCTAGCCAAACAAATTATAGGATGAGTTTTGTCTATAACGTCGAAACGAGACGTGTTATACCATAAATTAAATTATATTTGTTCATATTTCGTGACGTTAACCCCGAGTCACCGACATAAATATTAGTAAAAAAAAATCGAAAGTAGTTCGTGATATTTTTCTGGAATCATTTGCACAGGAAGAAAATATGATAAGACATCAAAAGACAGTACAAAAAAGTCACAAAGACTACTCATGCGACAAGTGCGAGAAAAGATTTGTGCGGCAAATTTATTTGCTCACTCACCAAAAGATGGTGCACGAGGGTCGCAAAGACTTCGCATGTGACGAGTGTGAGAAGAAATTTGGATATAAACATCATTTGTTGCAGCACCAAAAGACAGTACACGAAGATCGCAAAGATTATTCGTGTGACAAGTGTGAGAAGAAATTTGGATACAAACATAATTTGTTGCAGCACCAAAATACAATCCACGAAGGTCGCAAAGATTATGCATGTGACAAATGCGAAAAGAAATTTGGGATACAAAGCAATTTGATAAGCCACTTTAAAACAGTCCACGAAGGTCGCAAAGATTTCGCATGCGACATGTGCGATAAGAAATTTGGACAGAAGTCGCATATGCTCTACCACCAAAAAACAGTTCACGATGGTCAGAAAAATTATGCGTGTGATAAGTGCGAGAAGAAATTTGTATACAAACCGTGTTTGCGCATTCACCAAAAAACAGTCCACGAAGGTCGCAAAGATTACGCATGCGACAAGTGCAAGAAGAAATTTGCATATAAATCAGACATGGTTAAGCACCAAAAGTTAGTCCACGAAAAACGCAAAGATTTTGAATGTGACAAATGCGAGAAAAAATTCGGACAAAAATCACATTTGATCGATCACCAAAGAACAGTTCACGATGGACGGAAAGACTACTCATGCAACAAATGCGAGAAGAAATTTGGACAAAAAATACATTTGTTTCGGCACCAAAAGACAATACACGAAAGTCGCAAAGATTACCCATGCGACAAGTGCGAAAAGAAATTTGGATACCAATCGAAATTGATTAGACACCAAAAGACAGTCCACAAAAGTCACCAAGATTTTGAAAGCAACTATTGCGAGAAGAAATTCGGACTTGAAATGAAATCGATCAGACACCCAAAGACCCTAGTGCGCGAAGATCGCGAAGATCATTACCAATGTGACCATTGCCAGAAGAAATTTGGACGCAAATCAAGCTTAATCTTGCACCTGAAGGTTCACGAAGCTGCAAACAAAAGTCCCAAAGACTACGCAATCGACAAAGGCGAGCAGAAATTAGGTGATTTGAAAAATTCGATCATGGATTTAGCATGCGATAGGAACGAAGAAAAATTCGGGGATCAAAAAAATGTTGTTGGACACCAATTAATAGTAGACAATGGCTGCAAAGATTACACATGCGACAAGTGCCAGCAGACATTTAGCATTCAAAGCGGTTTGATACGACATCGAGAAACAGTCCACAAATGCCGCAAAGATGAATCAACCAACGAGAGCAAAAGGAAATCTAAGCCTACATCGAATTCGATTGGAAGAAGAAAAAAATCCAAGAAAAATCGCAAAGACAATCTTACCGATAGATGCTATAATTGTTTAGTTTGTCGATACCAACGATCGTTGTCAAAAAAAAAAAACTGGAGCCAAGTCAAAAAAAAGCTCGTGACTCGCAACGAGTGAAGGTGAAGAACCACCCAATTTTCTTCGTGAATCGCCAGCATGCGCAGTTGCGTATGATGTCAAGGGAGACGCAATTATAAATTTTTAATGATACAAATAATGCATTTTTATAACGAGTAACTATAACTTTTTTTCAATCATACCCGCTGAATAGTCTGTTAGTTATTTCATCGATGAAATAATTGAGAGCGTTTATAATTTCATTTGACAAGTGTACAAATTGATGCTGCAACTTTCTAGAATAAAAATAATGTCAATGTGGCTGTGTCTTTCCCCAAAGTGTGTGCAAATCCAATGTTTACCTCAATTAATCATCGTCACCTTCTCCAGCGAGTCGCTCTCGGAAACATGGTAGTCGTTATTGTTAATATCGAGTGTGTATTTCTTTACGCGAGGGAGTGTGATTCAATGTACGAGTCCCCTGATTCTCCGCGCTATGAGCGAGGACTTTATGAGTTACACAATAATACGACCACTTACTGCGTATTCGAAATCGCCGAAATTATTTTTTAAAGTCATTTTTTCTGACTCACAGACTATACACAGTGCACATTAGACGCGAGAGAGAAAGAAGATGCCAAGACGTACACGAAGTAAAATGGCTTTTAAAAAATTGGTTTTCTCGTCTAATGGCCATGGTTTCAAGTATTCTTTTCAAATATGAGGTTCGTGCTTGTTTTATTGGCATTATAGTAGGAGGAAGCTCTTTGCCGATGAATTGCCAGTATTTTTTGTCGTTGTTTAGTAAATTTACTTATTATTAATTCTTCCTTTGAATAATTAGATATAAAATCATCGAAGATATAATTTTAAAAGAAGATTTAAAAAAATGTTGTATAATTCATGTTAACTGTACAATAGAACTGCTTACTGCATTTGTTAAATTTTTTTTTCTTTCTGAATGTCAAGTTCATCCTTATCAAACTCTCTTATTGACTCGAGTGGCAGAGTATCAATAAATCTTTTTATGCACATTTACGTGCTGTTCTATCAATAATTAACGCGTCGTCGCTTTCGCTTATCTCTCAATCTCTTTCTCTCTCGATTCCAATCTCCTATTCGATTTAAAATCGAAAATTATATCATAGAAGCTCAAAAAAAAAACAGCTGTACAGTTTTGAAATTAATAATTATAGAAATAACAAATTGAAAAAAGAAACAACAGAAATCACGCGGACTCGTGCACACGCGGGCGTATTTTCGTTCGCACATCAATTATGCGTACTTGTATCGAATGTATTTCGGTCGCTCGGCCAGCCGCGCCGATGCCTTTTGATACGCGCCTCGAAGCTGCGGCGACAATCGCTCGCTTCGATCATTTTACTCTTGCCTTTGTTCGTCGTCGTCGCGTTTAATTGCACACGACTTGGACGCGTGCTATATTAACAAGAGAGATTTCGTTGACGTTTCGAGCAATTTCATATATATGTGTATTATACGATGCGTACACCACAGCGCTACGCATATGGCTATGGCCGAGCTTTTTTTTTATGACTCGTTCTATTTTTATCGGTGTCAATCAAAATTATTTTCAAGTACATTAAAGAAAAAAAAAAGGCAAAAGCAGCAAACTCGTGACTCCGAACGAAATAAAATACTCGAGTAAATGATATACACATCTGTTGACGATCTAGCGTTTACAATGAAATATTTGCGGAATTTCGTACGCGCGTGTGTCTGCGAGCACGTATATAACCGCGCCAGGCACTGAATTCGCAATTATATTCAAATATATCTATATTCCGGTAGTTAGCGATTTATGGATGTATACCTCGTCAATTATAATTCTGTTTATCTATAAACTGTACCCATTATTTTTTTTTTATTACGATGGAAGTCGACAATAGACGAAAGATAGAGAGAAAACAAGATATATATACGGCAATAAAAATCACACTCATCGCGCTTATCAGTCAATTCTCCGCGGCGCGTGCTAATTTTTAACTAACGATCGACCAACGATAGTTTGGGCTATATCTATGAGTCGCCCCCTCTCGATATACCTCGTGCCATCGTGCTCCATTACATCATCATATATGCCCATCATTGTAATGGACGAAATAACACGCGGAACATCGAGACTGCGGGAAGTGTATATAGCCGAGTCTGACGCATGCAGCAGCAGCAGCAGCACAACAGGCATACATCCAAATCGTGACGTATACGACCATATATCTCTAGTAGAGAGAGCGAGAAAGAAATACTTACACACACACATCGATATTGGGTGAGGGTATAATATGCGAAAGCACAGGCGCGCGCGCAGATTATAACAGCTCGTGTCCGTCGCGCTTATTTATATACTTTTGGCTCTCGGTCGAGCGTCAGTATAGAGCCGCATGCCATACGCGCAGCGCACGGGTCGTCTCCACATATATACACCTTGTAAAGTTTCTCACGCTTGCATCATACCTGCAACGCGCCAGCGCGTGTGTCACTCGACGAATAAAAAATCAAGTGTCGATTATTAACCGATTTTTATATATCGTTGCCCTTTTCATATATATATAGCGACGAAAGGCAAATCGCAGCAGCATCGTATCTACGTAATCCAACGACAGCAAAGCCGTCGCGTTGCAGCAGCAGCAGCAGAGAAATATGTGGAGCTGGCCAGCCTGCAGCCCCCGCGACAAATATCCTCGTACAGCAGCAGCAACAACAATTACGAAAAGCTCCGGTACTTGCGGCCGGATAAGCAGCAGCATCGACAATTGCGAAGCTCCCCTGCTGACTCTATGACACGCGTGGTGCCCTCGACTTGACGCCTCTTCTTCCTGATATCGAGGACGCTGTGAATCAAATTTTGACAAAAAGAGAATAGCTATATTTTCTAGTGTATAGAAAATCGAACGGACGATCGGAACGAGCTCCGTTTTGATTACGTTCGTACCACTTGACTCGAGAGTTCGTGTGCGTGATTATCGAATTGTCATCATTGTGTTACGCTCTGTCTAGTAGAGCGCACGGCTCGAAAGAGTGTCCAAAAAAGTTTTTCGCGCGATCGCGAAACATCGTTGTTGCATCATATATATACACACACAGGCCGGCGCAACAGCCAAGCGCACGTGCCCATTGGTATATACAGCATTTATATATACATTCCATTATAATATATATATACACACACGAAAGTCTGCCAAAACCGTACGGGGAGAGAACGAGAGAGAGAGACGGAATAATCACAATAATAATACAAGTGTATCGTAGCGCGCTCGAAGAGAATTCTACACATCATGGGACACATACCGGACGAGAAGCAGAAGAACGGCAAAGCGCAGGCGGTGGTGGTGCGGCTCAGCCCCCCGTCGCCGCCGTTGAGCCTCGTCCCCGAGAACAATAGGGAGATCGTCGCCGCCGATATCTCGACGACGTCGTCGGTGGCGCCCGACGGTGGCTGGGGATGGGTCGTCGTGTTCGCCTGCTTCATGGTTCATCTGCTGAGTGAGTATTATTATTTATTTTCGACTTGAATTAATTTTAGACAAAAGAAAAAAGTAGCCGCGTATATTACATTAGAATACAATTAGCGGAACGCGTGATCGCGCGAAATCTAATACACGAGAGATAAGCAGTAATAGCGACGCGACGCGCGTTAATTAGAAAACCCCCGCACACGCGCGCGTATAAATAATATATGTAACGCGATATATTGTTTTCGAATGCGTCGACTTTACGCGCGCAGCAGCAGCAGCGACAGCGACGATCGACCGCTGAAAATAAAAAATAAACTCTGAATCAGCGCGGAATGCCGCGGTGAAATTTAAGAATTTTATTATACGATGCGATCCAAGGCGAAGATCTGCGCCGATCGTTGCGATGTCGAGTTTTCGTGGCGTAAATATCAAGCGCATTTGAATTTCTCTGAAAATTACAAAAAATGCATTCCAGTTTCGAACCACTTGAAATACGATCGTACTACTTTGAGCTTTCGCTACTAGATGGCGAGTAGCTTTATCCGCCGATCTGCAAGTGTCAAAGTACAAAATGATGATATAAGTCAAAGTCTGGTACCGATAATTATATAAAAAATCCATGTTTTTTTGCCGATATTACGTCGACCTCATCAGAAACCCTAATAAACTAAGTAGCGTGAAATTGTGAGGCAGTCCCTGCAATCAAATAATAATATTCTATTGAAAGTTTGAATATCTGCGTAACCACAAAAAAAATAAAGAACGTAAAATTAAAAGAAAAAAAAGAAATTCTTTCTTTAGTATTTGTTCGGTTCTAATGGCCTTTCAAGTATTTGTACAGAAATTAATTTTTCGTTCAGCCCCAATCGGCTTTTCAATTGCTTAGTGACATTTATCAAAGATTTTCTACACTCAATTATCGATTAAGCTACGATTACAGGAAATGATTGTAGTTATGAATATTTCTTAAATTCTTCATTGGCCAAATATTTATTATCCTCATCTTTGACCGTCGTTGCGATCGCATAGAAGTATTGAATTATTCTATCTGTGGTTCGAAGCTGTTTTGAATCGTATCATAACGAGGAATATTAAAAATGCATTTTAATGCTCCAAATGTTACAGCAAGTATCGTTATTAAGTAAACGAAATTCATCATTTTTTTTAAAACTCAAGTGAAGACTGTAATGACTAGATAAAATTTTTTGATAATAACTAAGATCTTTCTTTTAATTACGGAGCAGTATCTTCTTCTAATTTTATTTTAATTAGTAGGTAACAGTATGATTTTAATGAATACCTAAATTGGTCGCTTCAGAAATTTATCGCTCAATTCCATAAAATATTCTCCATCTTATCTTTGTTGATTCAAGCGTTTAAATTTCTTTATGACCAACGTTGAAGTACTGATTTTAAGTGGACTCATAAATAATCACCCACTCAAAATTAACCAGTTATCAGCTAACTTGATGAGTTTTATCTACAAAGAAAAATAACAATTCATAAGTCGATTATGTATTTTAATGTATCGTAAATGAGAGAAATCACAATACTGCATAGTAATTTTTACTCCTTATCTATTAAAAATGCAACATAGTAAATACTACCTTACTTTCTCTAACTTTTAATTCGAAAGCTTCTCAATGTACTATATGGCATCGCTTCGTTATTCTTTCAACAAACAATGCTTTTCTTCTTGACATGCATAGAAAAAATTACATCAAAAATGATATTTAATTCATCAAGAAAATTGATCGGGTCGAGTAAGCTTCAAAATATCACAATAAATGACCAAAATGGATATCATTATTTTTCGCGGAGAGAGTTTTTAATAACACACTTTATGCGCGATAAAAAGTACCGATTGTAGTTGATGCGCGCACTGAAAAAAAGTGGCATTGGCCAAGGACTCAACCCACACCTCTCACTGATAATTCACGAATGCAAGCTTATAAATATAAATCTGACGTTCAGCAATTTGCGAAGGAAAAATCTCGTGACATCGAAAATATTTCGATAAAAATTTGATACACTATTAGCACGCCTTTTATACTGTACGTTACAATTTTGAAATATAAAACTCAACCACTTGATTTCAACTAATTTTCTTTAACATCATCCGCATGTTTACAGCCGACGGCGTGGTGTACTCGTACGGCTTCTTCCAGAAGGAGTACGTGCGTCAATTCGAGGTGACGCAGCACGCGGCCTCGTGGGTCGCCTCGCTGCTCGTCGGCACGACCTTCTGCGCGGGTCCGCTCTCGAGCTACCTCATCAAGAAGCTCGGCTGGACCGCGACGACGATCGTGGGCACCCTGCTGGCTGCGGGCTGCCTCTTCGCCACGGCCTACGCCCGATCGCTGGCGCTGGTCTACGTGACGGGTGGCGTGGGCACGGGTCTCGGCTTCGGCCTCATCTATCTCACGGCCATCGACTCGGTCTCCAAGTACTTCGACAAGAATCGCACCCTGGCCACGGGCATCGGCGTGTGCGGCTCGGGCTTCGGCACGGTCGTCTACGGCCCGCTCATCGGCTACCTGCTCGTCTGCTTCGGCGATTATCGCTGGGTCATGCTCGTGCTCTCGGGCATCATACTCGTTTGCATCGTGCTCGCCTTCGTGTTCAAGCCGCTCAAGCAGCTGCCACCTACTACTACTACCAACAACAAACCGTTACAGGAGGGAGATGTTAAGAAGGAGGATAAGAGCAAGCTCAAGCTCGCGCTGCTGCGCGATCCCGTCCTGCTCATCTACATGTTCTCCAATTTTTTCACCAACGTCGGCTACAACGTGCCCTACGTCTTCATGGAGAAGCTCGCCGAGCAGCACGGCATGAGCCAGGCGTCGACCCTCCTCATCGTCATCGGCGTGGCCAACGTCGTCGGCCGCGCCGGCATCGGCTGGGGCGCCAACAAGCCCTGGGTCGATCGACTCCTCGTCTACAACAGCTGCTTGCTCGTCTGCGGCATCGGTAAGTAATAAGCTTCGCGTCGTTCTCGACGATAAAAATTCTTACGTAAGAGCTGGTTTATCTTGAAAGCTCTCGCGAGATTTTGACTGAAAGTATAAAGGAAAAAAAGATTGTTAGACTATTTCCATATTTCGATGTTTTTTACAAAGAGTAACACATATCAAATTCGTAACGAAGACTAACGCACCCCGATAGTTTTATGATAAAAAATAGAACTTTTTTAAATTCTCATTTCGAAAGAAGCACATTCCAAATTTAAATAGCAACAACTAGCACGTTTCAGCAATTTCCTTACGAAAATTGATCGTCCAATATTTGATCTTTGATTTCAGTTTAAAAAAGTGTAATAATATTTATATGAAAAAAATCGATTTCCGTTGGGGCTTCTAATGAAAACTAACAAGTTTAGACGCGTTCAATTGTTTGAGACAAAAATTTATATTCAACACATAGATATCAGAGAAAGGACAATCTCGACATCTCAACGTGTAATTACTTTGCAAGGTGCATGAATACTATTCGTATTCTATTTACATTTGGTTCATTTGGACATTATTGTTTTTGGATCAACATAATTCGTAATCAAGTGGGGTCTTGAAACTCACTCACATGATTTTTTCCACCAAATATTAAGTAATTCTTTTCACACACGATGCAATAAAACGTGCTAGTCCTCGTTACTAATTTGAAATGCGTTAATCTTCCTAAATAATATATTGATTCAAAGTTCCTTATTTTGAACCAGTTCTCGTCAAAAACACGCAAGATCTTTCATAAACCCAAGTAAAAAAATTTTATAAAGTTTTTATAAAATCGATTTTATAAAATTATCACTTTATAAAAACTTTATGAAAAAAAACAACATTTTCGATTTTTTTTTGTACTTGGGAAATTTTTACGTCTACCATTTCTCTAATCGCACCACGACTCTTTATCACAGCCACGGCGTTGAGCCCGTTCTGCGCCAACTTCCCGCTGATGGCCATCTACGCGGCGGTCTTCGGCTTCACCACGGGCGGCTTCGTCACCCTGACCTCCGTCTGCCTGGCTGATCTCGTGGAGCGCGACCGTTTCACGGACTCGCTGGGCCTGGTGCTGGCCGCCCTGGGCGCGGGCTCGTTCGCCGGTCTGCCCTTCGCCGGCTTCCTCATCGACCACTTCGTCGTGGCGGACGTCGCCTTCCACGTGGCCGGCGTCACTCTGGCCATCAGCGGCTCCATGCTCTACGTCATACCCTGGCTGGTGCGTAGACGCAACGGCGGCAGCAGCAGCGAGGCCGAGATCAATACCGTTGTCTAGCGAGCGATTTTTGCGTACGATTCGCTCGTTTTATGTTATACGCTCTTTTAGGTATTTTTTTGTTTTTAACGGCTTTCGAGCGTACGAAACACTCGATCGGCGGCTAGAAAGCATCGATGTGATTGGTGATTTTTAGTCTTGTCGAAAGGCGTCGTTCATTTCTTTCTGCATTGAAGCGCTACTTTTTTACTTATATGAACCACTTGTCGTTTATAAAAAAAAAAAAAGAAACAAGCCAATTGCAACAACGACGATGCATAAATGTATAAGATTTTATATGGCACATATTTGTCGAAAAGAAACAAGATGTAGAGAGTTTGAATAAACGATTGAGTTAATTTTTAACAATAAATAAACAAATAACCATGTGTTTCTTTTATTTGCGAAGTATATGATATCGACCATGCTTGTGAAATTTTAACACATGATAGTTATTGTGGTAACGAATTCATTGGTAAAAAAAAAAATTATGGGTTGCCGAACAAACGCGAGAGATAATCATATTCAAAGTTTAGCACATTAAACATGGTGTCTTATGGGGAATCGCAGTCTTTCGTCCACCATAAGCTACGAACATTTACCATCTTTTTGAAATTTATATCACTGAAGACTGAAAGTAAATTTTATAAGCTTTCCAATGATATAATGGTGTGTTAATAGGGGTCGCCGAGCATGTTCGAAAGATATGAAGGGTTGAAACGTTACATTGAAAGGTTGAACTGAGGTGAGCGGTTGTCTGCCTAATGCGAGAAAGAGACAGACAGATGCCTCGCTGTACTATTGTTATGATTTCGATACGCGGCCTCGTAGCGAAAGTTCCCCGTCTAGGATAAAGCGCCTATTATGATATGACTATCGCTAGCTGCTGAGAAAGACGACAAAGAGTCACATCGGAAAAATGGAATCGGAACTATGTACACTGAGAGAAGGATTTCTTAACAGTTAAAAACGATCTTTACAATGAGAATATCCCATATAGGTATATTTTAACTATTAAGATATTTCTTAACTGTATCTCAGTGTAAGTGAGTACGAGTGAAGGAAAAATATACATTTTCTAGAAATATCTTAATTTGAAAGTGATCGATGAATCACCTTTCAAGATCTGGCAAAACGCTGTTTTTATAAGACTGCAGCTGCTTGGTATCTTTGCTGTACACGTACATGGCGTCCAAAACCAGAGCTATTAATATTTATGATATCATGTAAATAATAAAATCTAGATATATGAAAGTAGTCAATTACGACGCATATCTTATGCTCGCACATCTGGCGTAGCTTTCCCTTCGCCTATATATTGAGTGTTCAGTGCATTTTATAGAGTCAGTATGAGTTCTGACGCCGCCGTGTAAAGAAGGAAGAAAAAAATCTCGTAGACCAGTGATTTTTGTGGAAAAATCTTCATTTAAAAGTGACCGTGTTTGTGAGTGAGTGCATAAGAAAAATGTCCGCGTCCAATAATAAATCTGTTGAAAGTTTGGATTACACAACGAAACTAGAAACATTGAAAAGCTTAAGAAGAAATGTCGATTGGAAAATCGAAGAGGAGCGACGTAAACTGCTCGATCAACTTTATCCCTTGGTCAAAGATTGGACGGACCAACTTCCGAATCTCCGGGACATTTTTCGAACCGAAGAAATTGATTGGCTTCTCACGGAGGACGTTAAGAGTAAGCACAAGTTCAGAAGGGGCAATTTTATCAAGTTTGCGATCAAGACTTCTTACGAGGACGAGCCTGAATTTGATAAAGATGGCAAGCCACTGTTGCGTCGCACTACAGCAATTCATATCGCGGCTAGAAATGATGACTTTCGCATTATGCGTGATCTCTTTAAAATCTACAATAAGTTCCACGTGAATTACGTCGACGAATTGGGCATGACTCATTTTCATGCCGCCTGTAAGAATGGCTGTTATTTAGTCGTCGAGATGTTTCTCAAGCTCGGCCAGGACCCAAATTGCCTTCCTCCGCCGCTAAACTTGGCTCTAGATGGTTATTGTTTTAATGTGGCCAATCTTCTCCTGGATTGTGGCGCCGATCCAAATGTGCCCGACGAAGAAGGAACGACTCCTCTGCACATTGTTTGCAAGGACTATGATACTGTAGACATGGTGAAGAAATTCATCGAGCTCGACGTGCGGATCGATGCTCTAGACAAGCGAGGTAGGACACCCCTACACTATGCCGCGCACGTAGAGTCTGGCGAAGAGATGAATCTCAAAGTGCTGCTGAGAAATGGAGCGAACCCGAATTTAGCCGACGTTGATGGATTGACGCCTTTGCACATTATTTGCCAGAGAATATGGGAAGACGATGACACAGTGGAGGTATTTTTCAAGATCTGCGACGAAAAAAATCGAACGGTGCCGGTCGACCCTCTGGATAATCGAGGTCGAACACCACTTCATTACGCTGTAGCGAGTCTCTTGACGAATACCATAGATCCACTTTTCGATCGAGGGGCTGATTTGTCTAAATTCGTTTTTCCTACTGAGAATGACTTCGATGAGAGATTGAAAGAACCGCGTGGTTATGATTATTATGATTGTAATCTGAAATTAGCATCTGGTGTTCTTGGAGTCATCGAACGACTTGAGAAAAGAGGATATGAACTGGACCAGAGCGACGTCCTGACGATCATGAAATTGTTCGCCAAGTACGAAATGTTCGAGAAACAGGATATTGAAAAAGTTTTAGATGACGATGAGGAGTTTGCGGCGAATGCAAAACAAATATTTATACTTCCAAAGGACGACGAGCAGGTCGAGGAGGTAGCGAGGAAAACCGAAGATTTACCGGAAGGTCAGAGTCTGTCGCTCTACGATCTGATTCGGTTACGACCCGAAGAGGCACAAAAACAATTAACATATTCGGATTACATCAATTTGTGGAAATGTCGCAAATTGTGCTATCTGCCCGAAAATCATTACAGGGAGGCTTGTGAAACTCATCTGTGCGAGAAACTATCGAAACGATTTTTCCGGCGTTGGGCAGTTTATCCTTTCTGGGAATTCATACATTATCGGCTGCCACTCGAGTGTTGCGAAATGATCATACAACATCTGAGGAACGAAGATTTATATAATATTATCTTGTTGGTTACAGGCCAAAGTCAGGACAACAAATAAAATTTAAAAACAAATGTAATTAAACAAATGTTATAAAAATGTTATAAAAATGTTATAAAAATGTTATAAATGTTATAAAAATAATAAAAGAATTAAAAAAGATATGACTTTCGTAATTGTTCCGTCATCGAAAATTTCCAAAAAATGTAAAAGATGTAAAAGAAATAAAATTCAAAACTTGAAGCTTCATATGAGGCATCGATATGTTCTCACAAGGAGAGCTGGGACCGCATATTTTGTACAGAATCTAAACTTTCACAAAATTTTTACATCATCTCACCATTTTCCCCCACTTTTCTACTTTGAGGCGTCCGACTCGACCGCCAGGTGGCGAACGCCATCAAAAACTCGTACCCGCAAGAGAAAGAGCCTTGTTCAGGGGTACTAATCAAAATGGCCTTTCTCCGAGTCAATCTCAATCTACTTCGACTTTCGTCAGTACGACGTGCCGAAGAAAAACTCTTTTTTGAAAAATGTCACTGCATCTCTTACGTGTACATCCATGTATTCACGATAGTTCACGAACTTGATGAAAGCACGTACAGTATAGCAGTTAGATTATCCATTGCCGTCTTGACCTATTCAAGGAGTTCCCTCTGAAAAACTAAAATTTCCCTCTCTCTCTTTTTTCTATTTCGAATAAAATGTCGTCTATTAAAACTATTAAAAATTGAATTCAGTAATAAAAATTGTCTACATTTTGAGTACTTCGTGAATTCGCAAAGTATTCATTTTGTTATCATTTTGTTCATTCAGAATGTGTTCATGACTAGTATCTTAAATGCATAGTTTGAGAGCGCATTATGTACAATTCATGTATATTTTATATTTTATATAGAAATACTTGATGTATACTTTTGAAAGAATTCGTATTGTATTCAGTTTTATCAATACATTCTGAATACCGAGTGTCATCTGGGATTTAAAGCAATAGATCGGTTCAGCGTTTGATTTTTGTTGCGACGAACGTGGACTCAACAGCGTACATTATTCCTTGCGATCTCTTAAAAAATTTAGCATTTTACAATCTTTTGTAGTCTAAGTAATGGAAATCAATTTTTTCGACTACCTTTACATATCTCCGTTAAACGCCGATGGCATGCTTTTTTGTAGCTTCTCTGGTCAAACAAGCTCGTAACCTGATTGATGAGTACTGTAAAATTCATCGTTTATCATATAGCCCTTTTTCTGTTTTACTCGATTTAATAAATATGATACAAGCGAAATTTCTACTGTGTCTATTAATTAAGCCTTGGATAGTTATTTTCCAAAATTTCCCATCGTTTCACGGACTAAATTGGTTTTGGAAATATAGTCGTGATATTGCGGTTTATTTATTAATTTTGAAACCAGGTGGATCCACAACTCGTTCATACCTTTCTGTCAAGACTTCCAACATTTGAAGTTGAAGTTTTTGTATGGGTCACGGGGTCGTAATTAAAGCCCCCCCCCCCCCCNGCGGGGGCTTCTATTCATAACATGATTCGGTAATATTATTTCTGACAGCTTGTTTATGTATTACATTACACAATGTGCCAGGAACAAATGATTCAAAAACATCTGAATGGGAAAATAAAGAAGAAACAGAAGAAGAAAAAAAGGTCTTTCGAGATTTTTTTCTACTCGTTTTGAATAATAAAAATGACAAGATTTGATTTCACGGTTATCTCTTAGAAACTTAATTCCTCGTTCGTATGCCTTATTAAAGAATAATCAATTTTCGATGAATATTGATTGCAGGAAAGGGTGAAACAAAAACTTAAATTGGTTTCGAGGTCTTCGATTGATTCCTTTTTTTAGAGAAGCGCTGAGAGAAACGTTCCGGAACGAAGTGTGGCATCATACATAGGTTGTAAACGTTATACAATTTTCAATAAGCGCACATAACAATGTCAGAAAAAATATATTTTTGCTACATAAAATATTTGACAGGCCCTTTCATAGGAAAAAAGCAATCTGTTTCGTTAGAGTTAAGATATTTTCAGAATTTCAAAATCTATCTATTTGAAGTTTCATGAAATTTGACCTGTCATCCTGGACCCATCCTGGACCCACAGACTCATATGTTGCCCCCGAGTCCTTTATTTAAATCAAATCGTCTGACTCGACAATACAGAAATTATTTAATATATGTATTATGTTTAATTTTTTGATATTCTAATAAGAGCGAACGTTCGAGACTTGACACGAAGCCCTGTAGAAGAAATTATTATGACCGTTAGTCTTCGTCATCCAA